GTTTGTGGAAGAATGGGCCAAAATCACACCAGAGCAATGCATGTGACTAGTACAGTAGGCGTCTTGAAGCTGTCATTGCCAACAATGGCTTTTTTACAAAGTATTAGATAAATTTCAGTAAGTGTGTTCAATACTTTTTCCCTGTGCCATTCCACATTATTACAAATAACTTAATTTCTGGACATTTATGGTTTGCTTTCTTTGTATATATGGATCACTTGGGTTGTTACTGATATCTGGTGAAAATTTCATGTCATTAGCACCTCTAATAATATCTTTACTGAGAAAAATGTTGACGTGTTCAATACTTATTTTACCCGCTGTATGTATATATACAGTATATAGACAATACAATTAAACCACAAGGACCATGAATTGCCTAAATGCCACTGTGTTACAGAAACAAAAACAAAAAATAGTGGCTGGTAAAAAGTTTGAGTGGCTGGTACAAAACTTTTTCTACCAGCCACTGTGGCTGGTGGGGAAAATTTTTAATTTCCACCCCTGACTATAAATGTAATTTTTGTTGTCTGTCGTTTAGCTGGGATAATTTTACTTATTAAAGCTCATAATCTTACCACTTGAAACATCACTAGCCCTGAAACTGCTGGTAGACATCGCGGTTGGAATTATCAAAGGTTTTTGACACCTGAGAGACACCGTAGCAACTCATTTGCATTTGGAAGTGGGGGGGCGGGGGTGGGGGGAGGACCAGGGAGGATGATTCAACCACTCAACTACTAGATGTCGCTGTGAACAACAAATCCTACACACTGTGCCTTTAAGATCAGACTTAAACCAAGAGTTGAAGCCTGTTTAATTTAAAGAGACATCTTGTTACACAGTTCAGAAACTACAATTGAAAAGGCCTGGGGCCTCATGTATCAACGGTGCGTATGCAAAAAAAACCTTGCGTACACCATTTTCCATGCAAAATTCCAGATGTATCAAAACTCAACTGAACGTGAAAATGTGCGCAGCCCCACACCAACTCCAGGTCTGGCGTATGCACGTTTCTGTGGTTTTGGTTCCATTGGAGACACTTAGAGGTGATTCTGAGAAACTGTTCATGATGCGAAAATGATTATTGTTCACACCAGACACACATGATTAACAATTATTACATCCACAAGGACGTGCAAAGTTGTGCCAAAAACACATTTAACAGGAACTGATTCAGACTTACTGGAGTATGTATATCATAAATTGTGTAACACACAGAACATTTATTTATTAACAGATAGAATTTTCTGATGACGAGTGGCTCATCAGCCGTTTTGAGGAAAAATCATGTTTTAGTTTGGCACTGCTGCACTCTGGGAGCGCGATGCAGCGAGTAGCCGTGTGCGCCACGCGTGCACGTGCAGCAGCAGTAATTGAACTGGGGTTCCACAGGAGCTTTCCAGAGGGAGCTGGCAGACCCATCGGGAATGTATCAGTCC